CAGTGCCCTAGGTAGGAGTTTTGAGCCAGGAGGCCGCGAATCCTCGTGAATGTGAACAAAGCAGTTCCTACCGAAGGGTTGAAGATGGTGTATTGTAGGTTTATTGCCGTGTAGTGCCTCATATGGCGTAATGTTTTCGGGTAGCCGTGTATGAGGGAGGCGATTTTTAAGGTAGCAGGCAGTGGCTATAGCCTCTGCCCACAGCGAGAGTCCAAGGTTCATGATTAATGCTCGGGCCATTGTTGTCAGGGTCTGATTAAACCTCTCTGCAGTTCCGTTTCTCTCATGTTCATATGGTGGAGTTTTTTCGTGAACAATTCCTTTCTTTCGGAAGAATGTCGATACTGTTTGATTGATAAACTCCCCCCCGTTGTAACGGCTGTTAAGCCTAGGGATTCCTGTAGCCTACGCTGGCTAGCGCAGGCAATGAATGCAAGGGAATCTTCGGGAAGGATCTCGGAATACAAGGAGCTTAGAAGATTCTCAATGAACTTTCTGGAAGCATACTGAAGGTTCATGAGAACCACAGGTGTATCAAGAATCTTCTAGGGTATTGTCGAGGATTCCATGTTATTCCAGATATAGGGAGAACCTTACAGAAGAGGAGTATCTCAGAGTGTATATATATTTGTATTCTAGCTATAGGAATTCTCTCTCTAGAGAATTATAATTAATATACTGTACTTACAAGATCGCCCAAGCATTTTGTACTGAAACCGTGACATCCGTTGTCTGTTCTCCAACGCTTAATTTTAGCGCTGAATTGCGTTTGTACAAAGTGTACGAAGTCAACCATTTGTTGGGCTGCTTCGTCTTTGGTTCGCAGGAACTTGACCCATGAATGTCGGGTATATTCATCAATAAAAGTTATGTAGTAAAATTTTCCACCTAATGAGGGAACGGAGAACTTTCCAGAGAGATCAGAATGAATTAATTCAAATGGTTTCGTAGCATTTTCACGAGTCTGTTTAGGAGAGATGTTTTTTGATTTAGTTTTCTCGCATGTAGGGCAATGGAAGTTTGGGGGTGGTGAGGGAAGGTTGGCCTGTGAATACAGCTTTGAAGGGTTTTTAATGGTGGTTACTCCGGGATGTCCCAACGCCTGATGGAATTCAATGTAAGAGGAGAAGCAAGCATTGTATTCCTCTAGCTGTATTAAGTGCGCCTTAACTCCTGCCTTTGCCCACAATACTTCACGCCCATTTTTGTCCCGTAGTATTATATCTTTTTCTTTGCCTATCAATGTGTAACCTTTACGACTCACAGCGTCCCAAGAAAAAAGTCGAGTCTTTCCAAAAGAAGGTACGAATAGGACATCGGTTAAGATGGTAGAGTAGACCTCTCCTTGTCGGTTTTTAAGGTTAAGACGAACAGTTCCTTTTCCGGTTACAGGGACATGGGAATTGTCTGCAATTTTGACACTGTGGTTTTTTAGAGGTATCAGTGTTTCAAAATCACGTTTACATCCAGTCATATGAGCCGATGCGCCAGTGTCGAAGATCCATTCTGGATGAGACGAGGATGTCTGAAACTGTGCCGCAAATGCCGTATCGTATATTTGATGTTCTGATTCAGCGGTGGCCGACGAGTGGGCGATTTGGGCAGCGTTTTTCCTGTCTGTCTTCTTCTGCTTGTGCGCTTTTAGCTTCCGACACTCCTTGAAATTATGCCCCTCATATTTATACTTGCGACTCTTACACCATGAACATTCTTCGATCTCCTGTCTCGCGACTTGATAAGCCTTGTCATCTAAGTTGGTGGCTTTTCGATTTGCCGATATGTCTAGGAGTTTAGAGGATACACCGTCGTAAGTGGTGATTTCTTTTGTCACGAGGTTATCGATGACGTTTTCCATAGACTTGGGCAAGGAGGACAGCAGAAAGGCACCTCTTGCGTCCTCCGACGAGGTCAGGTCTTTGAATGCCTTGGTGAGAGACGTAGTCGAGTGTAGGGAGCGATTTCGGAGGCGGTTCCAGGTATCATTGAAGGTTGAAAGGTATTCCGATATGTTATCTCCGTCACGTAATGTAAGATAAGTGACGGCCTTGAGTAGGGAAATAGTGGAACTTGCAGTTTCTCGATCGAATCGTGCTTTGAATTGTTCCCATGCTTCTTTTGCTGTTTGGCAGTCTATCACCACGGTCTGCAACGATTCATCAACAGCGTTCAGGAGGAGGCCCCGAAGCTGTTTATTAGCATTGTGCCACTTTTGAAACTCATCTGATTGTATTTCAGATTTTATTGGTGTCTCCTTTGTCAAGAAGTCAAGCAATCCCATTGCATCAAAAGTTATCTCCTAACTGCCAACCCATCTGCGATAGTTTTCACCACCGGTCAGTATCGGAAGTCGGTCGAGCTTGAGTGAGATTGGGGTTTGTCTAATGTTTGCCTGAGTTGATGAGAGTGACATTTTGGCGGTGGTTTTTGTGCTAACCGGGCTATAACCTGTTGAAGCTTTGTCGTGGAGTGATAGATATGAGAGTGAGGTTTATGGGTCACGATGTATGAGATAACTGAGGTGCGGATGTATGAGTTCCTTACTATTGTTGTTGTACTAGTTAAGGATGTATTATCTATATACATAAAAGGATTTCTCCATCTACAAGTGGGCCAGATCGCTTAGATCTGGCTAGCGGCTTTCGCCATCCTCTTCCTTCTCCCCCGCATGGCATCACGTGCTTTACAACTACTGCTCACCATGGAGTCCGAGGATGAAAAGCGTTAGATTACAACAGTTTCAACCACCCTACCCTCCCTTTCTGAGTGTGCTAAAGCAGCGTGATAACCACGATGTCCGCGTTCCCTGATAATGTGAAGTTCTGCGGGCGTACGGGGCAGAATTATCCCGTTTTGTCGTCTTGGCCGGGCCATACAGCTACCCTCATATGAGTGGTGAGGTCCCGCGCAATTTGAGCACTTTGACACCTTGGCCTGGCGCCCTGATGTCTCATGGGTTCCCCTACACCCCCTACATCGTTGGATCCAGGTGCAGGAATGCGTTGTGTGGAATCCCCAGCAACGTTGGAATTGCTCGATCGGTCTTCGGCGCGAGAAGGGAATTGCTGGTCCGCTCTCGTCAAAGAGACGAAACTTTGTGTTCGCTAGTTTCTGTTGGAAATGTATAATCCAGCTCTTTAACTAGCGTCCAAGTTTTGTTTCTGTGGGCCATACCTGAATAGGTGTGGCGCCACATGCCGCCTGGCACTCGTTCTTCACTATTTCGTTTGTTACTGGGATGCTACCTTCGAGCGTCCTGATGTATAGTGGCACATGAGGTACGATCAATGACGTCCATTTGAACGCTGCCTCAATCACAGTGTTGTCTTCCTACAGGGAAGGTGCGATTCTCATGATTGTGTCTCTCAATGCATCTGATGCGCATTTGAGAGCGATCCTCGACCTGACTGAGTACATCGAGGTGATAGCTGAGGCCACTATCCCAGCCTTGTCAGTTGATTTTCTTGATAGTAACTGACGAGAGCATATGCCAGTGGTGATCTTTCCCCAGTCGAAGGAACAGGATTTTATCTTCCTTTGAGGTATTCTATGTCTTCGGGCGGCTTGTTGGAGCTGGTCTTCTCGGAACTTGCGCACTTGGCGGAGATGGCAGCTTTGCAGACTACTATCACCTAGTTCGAGCTATTTTGTTGAGCCTTTAGATGTAACCTGTGGCTATTGTCCTCAATAACGATGTGATTCCTGGGCGCGACTGGTTCTGAAGTGCTTGCCATGGTGGGGGGCTTCTTACTTGGAAAGTTGGCCGCTTCTGCCTGATCTACTGCGAAGGCAGTGATAACAGGCGTGATCTTTCCCAACAAAATCGCGACAACTGCTGCTGCTTGCTTCTCTCCTTTGCTCTTAGCCTAGAAGTCGATTAGTTCCAGAAATTCCTGGGCTTTGCCCAATCTTTCTTTTCTTTGTTGGTCTGCTTTTTGCACTGCACCGGTTGGAGATTCTTGTAGAAAGGGTAATGAGTGATGCGATGTTGGACGGGTCGGAGGAAATTATCTTCGGTGATTTTCCCCTATTGAAACCTTATTGAATTTTTTGTGCGTCGATTTCAGCTCCTCTGATATTAGAATGAGAATTGTTGGTACGCGTGAGACACAGTCCCCAATTGATGAGTCTTCTTCATTCGATAACCCTGTGTTGTTGGTGTACATTCTTCCTCCGTCACATTTCATACCATTTCTATCCCAAATTTTATCTTTAGTACATCATTAGATAGGTACTAGAATGATTGTAGATATGAGTCGCAAGTCTAGCCTTTCCGGCGAGGTCTATCGCAAAGAAATCAGGAACGCCAATTCTACAACTTACTGATAAATTGTTTAGATATAAGTTAAGGCCCGTCTCTAGACTATATAGTGGCGAAAAAAAACCTTTTTTTATGCGGCAGTGAAATCTCTGATTTCTGTATTGTTCCCAAGACTTACCCACCCAACTCCTTAATGTCACCCACTTAATACATCAGACATTTTATCTATTGATTGTATCTACATAATACCACTGAGAAAATATATTTAATATCGATAACAGGAATGAATATTTTTGGAAATGCCCTAGCCTTGATCAGGAGGATATCCTTTAAAAATGCTGCCAAAATTCATATCATCTTGCGATAAGAATCTGTACCTATCAATATATCCAGTTACAAAAAGATTACGGCAGGAATTATTGAGAAATGGAACAAACTGTTCCCTCATGAGATCTAGATAAGAACGTTACGAAATATACTAATTGTCAAATCGAGGCACCATGGTCGATTCTTAGCCACCAGCCCTGATTCGGAATTTGGCACTAACCAGAGCTCTTTGCCGATCGATGGACCTACAACCGCTTAGCTCGGCTCCAAAGTCATTCTACGAACCACGACTTAATCGGCGGATACGCTGTCCACGACGTACATCTTTGCATCTTATCCAATTACGCAAGGCTAACCCTAGACTAGGCTCCAAGAAACAACATTAATTCACAGCGGTGCCGATTCAGCTGTAGATATGGAGGAATTTTTGGGAAAAGTACGCTGTTCAACTGGCTCCGCGGATCACGTGCTAATATGATAAGGCAGGTGACCCAACATGCGATGAACTATGCCATACGGTCCATCCCTCTCGCACTGAAATATGTAATAACTCTAACAATCCTGTAGCTCTGGAATTGGAATAACGGCTTCATTTGCCATTAGACAGACCTCAAGGCTTCTTCGGGTAAATCATGACACGGATGGTAACCTAATTAATTTACTAAATTCAAACTGATAAGATATGTGACTTAGACTGTAGATAATCATACCGACTACCGTGAGCTTCATAGCCTACAAGAGCGTCTAGACAGCAAGATTCGTGTCAGTAATCTTAGGAGATAGCAAGAAATAAGTTGACTTATACTACAGATAATCTCACCGGCTATAGATCTTATAGAGCTAATGTGAGTTTTATGAAAAGAAGTCGAAGACTCTCCCTTTGACCAAACTAGATCTGCGAGAGGGAATACCACCCTCGAGTCAGCTGTAACCCTTACGAAAAAACTCCGATGGGATATCCAGTCGCTTGGTGTTCGGCTCGAGAAGGCTGCTAGTGCTGAAGAGAAGTCCAGAAAAAATAGGGAACGAACAAAGTCTCGTACAGCGCACGAGACTGAAATCCGGCAAATTGTGGATGGGATCAAATTGATACTGGCTCGTATTGAAGATGCTGTGCCACTCATCAATCTAGCCATCACTACTTCGGGTGCCAGTCTCTCTACCACCCTTCCGCCCTCAGTATCACCATCGAGACTCCTACAAGCTAGTACCTTTCTCACGACTGGAGACACTCAATACCTCATGAGCCCTAACTTGCCTGTTCAAATTGGACCAACTTTCACTCTTTCCCTGTATATGCTCTTCGCAGGACATTCCTTTCAATTGAACCAAGACGAGGATAGAGTTCGATCTTTCAGATGGAAAGAAATAATTCACAAAGCTAGGGTTAAACTAGTACGCACTCCTACTAGTTGTTTAGATGCAAGCACATCGATCCAGGAAGGAGATGAATTTAATCTAAATCGACCAACTGTGTCCCCTACCACAAGCAAAAGAAACAAATTTATGGCCGGAAGCAGTTTGCAAAGCGAATACTCATATGATTTAGAAATAGTTGAAGATCTGGATGATAACCGGGTGCACTCAACAGAAGAAAATGAATTTCGACCGGGGTCTTATGGTGGCGTCGATTTGGCTGGGATTCGGGAAATACTACCAATCTATCAAATTGGTAAAATATTCTACGCTGATACTGGAAAAATTCTGAACATAGGGGATGCGGGGGAAGCTAGTAGTCCTGTTTTATTACTCAAGAGAGATATGAACGCGCAACCGCCACGGAAGATGATGTCAGAAAACGAAAATAGTCAAAATTGGCCTGAAAACCCCGAAAATTCTGATTGTAACTATTTAGATGAAGAAGAGAATGAAACCCAACACGATGTTGACTATCAACTTCTCATAGAAAACTCAAATCATCAGTCAGAAGAAACATGTGAGCCTCCCTCACATTCTCATGAAACAAAATGGCGCCTGCCGACAGATCTAGACCCAGAATGGCTAGCATTCGAAGTTTACTCTGATTTAGGAGAATTAGACTCAGAAGACGAACGAGAACTAAATCATGGCTCGCAACTTTCTTCCCAACAGCCTAGTTCCTCCGGCGAAGATGCTATGTCCACGGGTCTCGCCGAGGAGGTTTCTAATCTTAACCTCGCTCCAGACGCTTCATCATCTCCCCCGAAGCAAATGCCTGAAATAGAGTCATTCCAAGTTCCTACTACGTCACCTTTATCTGCAGAATCTCCTTTTGGTCTCATTAGATCATCTTTATCTCTCCTTGAAATGCTAATTCGTCTGACCGCTCTTCAACAATTTCAACAAGCTTCTCATCTATCCATACCCGACGAACTTCTCACGTTCTTCCTTGAAGAATCTTCAACTACTGGTGCTGGTGGCAATGACGAAGAGCGTAGACGTACTCGTCGTGAAGCTCGCCGAAAGGTTGGCTTCGATCCATATGACGAGAGCCCTATCAAGAGACATGGAGAAGAATACCAAAGGTACCACTGTGGCCAGCAGGATTCTCGAGGGGAGACTCCTAGGGACTATGATAACCAGGATGGGTTCTCTAGTTGGTTAAGAGATCAGCCAAGTACACCAGAACCATGGCTGCAGAGGAATAGAGCAATAAGATCCCCTCCCAAGAGTGTGCTGGGAATGATTGCTAGCTCGCCGCCATCTCCATATTCATCTCGTACGAGGTCGACCGGACCTTTCGGAAAAACTAGGAATATATCTAGCCAACCGAAACGAAGCCCTTTAGGACGAAGTTTAAATCATGATGTTGATTCATCTTTGGGAACTAGCCCTGGAAGTCCGGTATTGCCTGAAACTGATTAAACTTGTGCTTATCAAGGATAAAAGTTTTCCTTTATTCCTTCAAACTTCAAATTGGAGACTAACAATTCATTAATTTACCTTGAATTTTAATATTCTTGTGCTTGCTTGGTATTTTGATAAGTTGGGAATAGAGATAGCTTTGCGCTTCGTGCAATGAAGCCTATTCGTTTTATAACCCTCCTAAATTTGTTGGGAACCTCCGTCAATTTGAAAGAACTCCCACAAACATGTCTCTTCTATGTTACCAGGAGACAATTCTCCAAATTCCAAGAAGCTGATTGGTATTTTACTTTGATAGTTTGCATCAATAATTCTTTTAGAGCGGTTACTATTATATTTATTCTGGAAATAATGTGGTTGAAGAATAACTTCAGTAATTTTTTTCCAAGGTTAGTTTTATCATTCGTCCTAGATAAATGAGGCCTATAAAACTCAATCTGAATCATAATCTACAAGTACAAGTCCAGCGCGCGGATTATTTTCAGTGTCTGAGGTGTACTTGCGCTTGACTCCAGTCATGATCTTCGGTCTTAGAGAAGCATCTGCTCGATGACCGGGTTGAAATGGGTCGATTGCGGCTCTTGTGTTATTTCGTATTTCATCGGCTATAGCTGCTGTCTTCTTTCTAGTGGCCTCCTCAGCTCTTGTCTTACACTTGGAGCTCGAGAATGCTGAGATTTTGTCGGGGGTTTTATTATCATTGGTGAAAAGTGGCTTAGTTATGATCTTTTTCAGAGCAACTTCTTGACTTATAGTACCGAACTCGATAAGGCCCGCTCTTTTAATGTCAAGTTCGTTTTCAGAAGCTATTTCAAGACCAAAGCTCATTTTGTCTTGCAATGTACGTCGTACTGTATCCTCTTTTTCCCGCTGATTTCTTCCTATACGAAAAGAGCTTCTTAATCTTTGGTTTTTTTCATATGGGTCTTCCCACTGTTTCTCTGAGAGCTCAAATAACTCCTCTAATCTTTTCGTAGTCTGCGCTAATTTATTTTTGTCTTCTACCTTACCTTCTAGCGCAGCAAATGCGTTGTTTCGCATAGTTTCTCTTTCTTCTGGAGTTATCAATTTTATATCACCATCTTCAACTTTATCTACGCCCAAATTTCTCTTCCGCGCGCCTTCGATAACAACATATGCAGTATTTTTTGGATCTGTTTGTATTTCGATCCAGCCCCCGCAAGCTACATGCTTCATTCGGAAGCTATATATTGGACTCGTATAGTAATTTCCTATTTTTTTCTTTTCGGCGTTGAACCGAACTCCCTGACCGATGATCGTTGGTTTCGGACATGAAGTACACCATATTGGGTATGGCATCTCGAATCGCACGGTTAATATACCTTGTGATATCTTGTTCGCACGGTTTCCTAGAGCGTTTTTACCGTGTATCTGGTTTCCACTGAGAATTCCCTCCTGATCAGGAGGGACATAGCGTCCCATGTTAAATCCCTGCATGTTGAATGAATAGAATGAAAGATGAATGGTAAAGTTCGAGCAGTAAGATGGGTGAAGGGTCAGAATTTTGATGTGGAGATGGCGTGGGTGCGCAAAAGTGATGGTTCGCTTGACTTTTGTCACATGTACTTGATTACTAGTACACGCTGGCGAACTCTTCTTCCTTGTGTAGCTGCAAAACTCTCAAGCGCTAACATTGGCTAAAGAGATAAATTCATTTATATTCTAGCTCATTATGAACAATGAAAGAATTGCGTTTGAAAATGAGATTAAAGAATATAGAGTACAGGTATACCATCTCACACTTTTACTTAGTCAAGAATTACTAACACCAACTTTCAGCTTGAGACTGTCCAGCTAGGACTTCAAGCCGACCCAGATAGCGTGGAGCTTCAGCAATTAAAGACTGAACTCGAACAAGTCATTTCCCTCACCGAAGCTGCGATCGCAGAGCTAAAGCCCGTTTCAGTGCCCACAGCTGTACCGAAAAAACCGTTAGAACCTCCCCCAAAAGAGAAATGGTCTCGAGAAAACCACCCCGCGTTTAAGAAATCAACTGCGACACTCGAGGAAGATGTTCCAACAAGTTTCAAGGTCAATGATACTGTATTGGCGAAATGGCATTCTGGTGACAAAGGATTTTATCCTGCCCGCATAACTTCTATTACAGGATCATCAATAGCCCCCGTCTATATTGTCAAATTTAAGAGCTACGATAACATTGAAACACTCAGAGCAAAGGATATTAAACCTATTGTGAACCCAAACAAACGGAAAGCTGATGGCACACCAGTAACAGCTTCTAATCATTTTTCGCCCTCCGTACCCAACAATGTGATTTCTGCAGCGGCAGAAATAAATCCGCAACTTGCTCAGCAGACTAAACGTGAACCCAGTAAAGTCAGTGACGGTCCCACTCGACCTGCGAAGGTCCCGAAGAAATTCAAAGCCAATAAGGAACTTGAAGCTGGTAAATCAAAATGGCAGGATTTTGCGGCGAAAGGTAAAATTGGAAAGACAGCAAAGAAAGAAAGTATGTTCCGGACACCTGAGGGTGTTCATGGAAGAGGTGAACCTATACTTGCCCTCTAACCATATAAAATTGACTGGCTATAGTTGGGTTTACCGGTTCAGGACAAACTATGCGCAAAGATCAAATAAGAACTCGGCATATATACAATGTTAATGGTGATGATGAATAAAGTTCATGTCGGAGGTCTAGAATTAGGATAGAAGGCATTCCGCAAGTATCAGAAGCCAAATCTGGAGATTGGTAATCCATCGAAACTTATGGAAGCTAACGAGAGCAACGGTGAATAAATACCACATAGGAGAAGGCGCAACAGCCTACATAATAGAGAAGACAGACATCTCAGCTTATTTTTCGAGTGCAGAAACGACAGGCATTCACAGATCAGAACAGATATATACATTTGGAAAGATCTCATTCATCATTTATATTTATAAAATTATCGCATCCACCTGAGCTACCTTAATCCTTTAGTAATCCACTTAATAGGTCCTTCACGACTACATTTTCACGACTTAGATAAGCCTACAAGAGTAGCTATCTTTTCTGCAATATTTACAAAGATTTTTGCCCGGACGCTGTCTGGTTCCGCGATCACCGTAGGTTTTCCTCTATCGGCATCATCGCAAATATTAGCATGCAATGGAATTTCCCCTAGTAACTCAATATTGGAGTTTTCGCATGCACGTTTGATACCTTGGTTGTTCCTAAATATATCAGTGCTTTCATGACAGTGAGGGCAATAAAATGTATTCATATTTTGAATCATTCCAAGGATAGGGACTCCAGTAGTCTTAAACATGTTGATACCCTTGACTGCGTCTTTGAGGGCTATATCTTGCGGTGTGGAGATTATAATTGAGCCTAGTTTTTAGAACTCAGCAAATTCCTTTTTCATGTAACAAGTATGTACCATCAAGCACGATTTGCTGTGTAATCGTAAGTTGTGTGTCTCCAGTTCCCGGAGGTAGATCCAACACTAGCACATCTAAGCCGCCCCAATCGACACTGTGTAACAGTTGCTGTAATGCCTTCATGACCATTAGACCCCGCCAGACTACAGGCGAATTTTCTCCCACTAGGTACCCCATGGACATGGACTTGACTCCGTAGTTCGACAAGGGAATAAGCTCATCATCTAGTTCAGGACAGTTCAACAACGGACAAAATTCTGAAAGATTCTGACTCACTTGCAGATAGGCGTGGTTCACCCGAAAGATTCATAAGTGTAGGCACTGAAGGCCCAAAGATATCTGTATCTAATAAGCCGGATCGTAGACCACGACGGGCAAAAGCCAAGGCTAGATTGACTGTGGGAATATTATGTGAATATTGCGACAAGGAATGGGATCAAGGGTCGTCTTGTACCTGCGATAGTAGATTTTCCAACACCGCCTTTGGCTGAAGAAATGGCAATGACCTTGGCCACATCGCGAATGCGTCGCCGCTCGGGGAGGCCGCGCTGGAAGCGCGGCACTGAGCCATGTCGGGGTAGACCCTCAGAAAGGTTATTAGCGAGTTTGTAAGTGAGTGTGGAAAAATATCGTTTAGGGCTCACCAGTGGGTTCTCATGGCGTACGGTGCGAGCGAGAGAGAAGAGACGTTGCTTGATCATCTTAACATCATCTTGTGCGGTATATGGAGAGCGCATGCTGGTTTTCTTGAATTGTCTCGGCACTTGTCAACTTCCGGAGCTAACTCTTTGCGGGAAGTTTACACACTGTAAATATCTAATCCCAATCTATATACACAACTACACATGAGAGACGTTGGCAGTGGCCTTAATGTCAGTTTCGGAAGAAACACCCACTTTCAGTTTGGCTCACTACCAATTTCATGATGCAGCTCGCTGTGCAGAATTTGCTGGTACAAGAGAAAAATAATGTCAGAGTGGGCAATCAAAAGTTTGAATAAAAAACAAGGCGGCCAAAGAGAGCTTTAAAGCATTAGCAGCTAGTCGCCGTACTGAGTCGGATATGATTCATGGAGAGAAGCTTCAATCTGGCACAATATATAACAGATACGTCGACGTACAGTTAATTTCATTTTACACCCATTTATGCATGCACGAGATAAAAACGCCGGAGCGATGAACAACTGCTTCGAACGTCTACGTAACAAGGGGTATACTGTAGAAAAATAACAAATTAAGCAGAAATATTAATATAGAGTTCAGCGGAATCTCCACCGTCAGAGGACAACCTGACCAACGAGACCATAGAGAGGACTAATACTGAAAATTTACTGTAGTGTCCCTTAAGAACTTCTACGCTTGTTGCAGAGCCAAAATTAAGTTACATATTTTCAACTTTGAGTTGGGTTATCTCACCCTTCGTCAACGATAAGCTTTCGAAAATACATATGACAACAACAACGACGAGAGGAAAGAGGAGAGATATTGCGGTAACAAACACCACAACGGCTGTCAGAGAAGCTCTCGTCATGCCATAACATTTGCTACCCACTAGTGGGCCAACGAATCCCATGAAAGTAAATTAAAAAGACTTTCCGCCTTGAGAAAATAAAGCTTCGACACATGGACAAACTCGTTCCTTCAAACTCTAACCTCTTCGCGAGGAGGGTATCCAAACTAGACGAGTTTTTAGGCAACCCCATGTTTGTGAGGACCTTTGTATGCTAGGCTGGCTACTTAACAACAGTCACTCTTGACCAAGACTTTTCTGGAAATCTCTTACGACTTTTGGCCTATCCTGCGGTATGAACGAGAGGAGTAAGAGAAATGGACACATTTAGTTGTTTAGAGCTCTGTTACTCTAGGCTTTTCGGCCTTCGAAACACCTCATAATGATAGCTAAGCCTTTCGATTTAGTTCTTATATCTGCAGGAGAACTCTATGCCTAATGGCTTTCAAGTATTTTCCCTACAGATCCACAATCAAAAATGGCCTACGGCTTGTTGGGTAGAGGGGAAGTAGTGGCGGAATATTAACTCCTCTAATTAAGCACTTCAATGATGGCGTATGTGTGAAGGGACTCAACATTTGTTGTTCAAACTTATGGGCCCAAAAATGAATTTATATTTTATCTAAGGAAGAGAATATCTACGATGCGCGCGCAAGATATTTTGTTCCAATCGAGCGCGTTTTTGTTCATAGCCGGAGCCGGATAGTTCCGGATCCACATACAAGGCTACACCCTGTAACAGTATGTGAATATTCCTACTAGAAAGAAGTTGTGAAGATGGCACAGGAGGGAACACATTATCCTAGGCATATATAATTCTGCCCTGCAGGTACAGTAGACTCAAGCCTCCTTGTGTATTCATCAAATTAGATGATCAATGAACATAGGAACAAATACTATATGTATGATGGTCTGATTTGATTTGAATACATATCGTATCAGGCTTACGCCATACACTCAATGGGCGTGATAAGGGTCTATACTCCCTTGGGACACAATACAACCGAAGTATATAGTTAGCTTGTCAAATTTATACGCAAAACATAAATAATGAATTAATTTCAAGGAAGATAAGCGCCTTGCGTCTTTTCTCCCTACAACCCTCTGTCCCAAGAAAATCAAACTTCAGCAGGACGTAATCCTCCTGTTGTGGGATCTGCCTATCATAACACTTCGATACTATAAAGAGCTCAATAAAATTTTCCCAACCCTTTTCTTACAGCATCTCCCGCCCTCCCGGCAGTGATTCATGCTTAGAGATCCTCAAGTGCTGTAGAGCAATCCGACATTCGGTTAAATGCCAGCGAGGTCTCTCTCTTCCGCACAAGCATTTGCAATTTTCAAAATCGTGGCCAAACCTTTCATAGTAGTTTCTGAAATCACCATGTCTCGTCCTGGCTGCGACCAGGCGGAGATGCGCCCACCTCGGAAGTGCTAGCTCCAGCGGACGTTTTCGTTGCATTCGGAGATCCAACTCCTGGTAGCGACTCGGTCTGTGTTCTAGCCACTAGGATTTCACTGCTTCACATCTTTGCCTGACAAGCCTGGTGAGGGCTGCGAAAGTGTATTTTGATCCGTCCCTCGTCCCTAAGGGCTTCCGTAGTCAGTCTGTCTGCATCCTTGTTCCTCATGATCCCAGAGTGGGCTGATATCCATCGGATTTCCATTGATCTGGCTCGTTATAACAGTCTTGTGAAATTTCTACCACAGCCTGGGAAGATTTTGTATAACCAGTTTGTAGTGCTCCTGTGGCTATGGAACTGTCGAGGAGCACCTTTACCGGATAGTTGTCTGCTTTCCCCATGGCTCCTTCGAGAGAATTTTGGGCCTCGAAGATCTCGGCACCGTAGACCTTCATCTCTAGCAGTGGGTCAGAGTCACTCCCTATCACTTGGCCTCATTTGTATAAGGTGTACCCCCACGCAGATCTAGCTGGTCCACATGATGAGCTGCCTGAATAAGCGCAAACTGTCTTAGCTGAAAGACTTGCTATCCATTACTCAGTGTAAGCTGCTTCATCCTAAATGTTAGCGCCAGTAATTTCTCTTGTGGACTCGGCTTTTTGGAAGTATAGTTTGCTGGATCCTTCGACCATCGGTAAATTTTTAGCACTGATCTGAGGTCGCGCGAGTTACCGTTCTGGGAACTTGAATGACCGATTCTTCTGACCTATGCGGAGACAGAGTCGGCTTATTATACCCCTTGGCCCCTCTCTAGAACTAAATACTAACAGATGCCATGCGTCCAGCATTTGAATCTGTGCGGCCGCTAGCATATTTCTCTACGATAAGATATTAGCAGACGAGGGATGACCGACTCTCTGTGTAGCGCCATGTTTAGTGTAGTTCGCCACAACGGTTACGCCGCTCGAACTGCCTTTAGGATAGTGCTGTCAAGGAGATCGGTGTACAAGCCTACTCCTATATCAACCTTTTTATCCCGCTAGGTTGTGATTCGGGTGAGACCTGGCAATCATCCCTCTGCTCCATATAGTGCTGCACTGAAGACACAAGCCTGCTCCACTTTGATCATACGTCCCGGGTCTGCGCCGTGCTATTTCGAACTTGTTCGACGCATAAACTTTGTTATACGTTGCGCCTTCCCGCACCATTCCTCAACGTTTTGCTTGAAGTTGAGTTATGAGTCTAGCTATACTCCCAGCCATCCCACGTATGGGGATGTGGTCACGCTGTGGCCTTGGATCTGAACAGATAGGCCTATAGTATCTAGCTGTTTCTTTGGCCTTCCTCCAATTGTTGTTAGAAATATCACGCAATGAAATAGGCGCAATCTTTCTGTGAAGAAAGAAAAAATATGATTTGGAGAGTGTCATGTTCGGATTACTACTTAAAGAGAGGAAAGTATGTGCTATAAGCCGGCAAAGTTGAATTCTTCACCTTCCTGTGGTGCCGGTGTAATCGCTCAGTATACTCTACATATCTGGGATAGTCAAGAAGAATCGCATCCAAATCGAAGTCGAAAGCAGATACATCCATATCTCCATTTGTCGACTTCTCAAAAATTTATGTCTTGTCATCCTCACGCGATTTTTCTATCTTGACTCCACACACCACCTCGCCTCAACGACCTACAAAGGCGTTACCCCAATTGCAAACAGGAACTTGACTCATTTGTTACCGACCATCACTCACTACAAATTTACGACGCCACGTATACTAGCAATGAGAAAATCAAGTCATAATCTACAGATTTGAGGTCTTGGTTTATGGGGGGCTGTTGCTCTAAAGGGACAAACAACTTGAGGGAGAACAGGCGGCTGAGATGTTGAGCGAGAGGTGGAACAGATCTCTGAAGATCATGCTGCGATCGATATTTTCGAGCGGTTTTCAACTGGAATATTTGTGGCCGCCAAGACTGAGATAATCCAGCGAATTAGCCAGGAGGACTTCTTTTGTCGATGGGTCAACGGCACTCCCCAGTGCCCTGGACGGCACAAAAGAGGGTTGCCTAAGCTATCACACAGCAATTACGCTCTGTCAAGATTATTCTGACATTTCAGCACGACCTTCGGGAAGGAGTTGGAAGGAGGCTAGAAAGGCAGAGGGTGAATTTTCCGAGGTACACACAAGTCTGCAGCGCCCAGCTTGCCGGCCTCTTCGAACGCTTCAGAAGGATCACTTTGACTTCGGATTTATTCCTAATGTCGGTATTAGGAGAGCTCCGCACCCGGTAATTTTTGCGATTTTTTCCGGCTGCCATACACCCGCAAATGGCCATCGTTTCGTTGGCTGGAGAGGGGAGATAGTGAAGGGCTAAGGGCTCCTCTAAGTGTATGATCAAATGAAGACTTGTGAAGGGTGTTACCGTTCGGGGGAGCTGTATGGGAGGCATAGGAGGGGATATACTACTGATATAGGTATCCTTGGCCTATAGGCAGAGAGGATCTGCATGTCCTACATAGTCATAGACTCAGACAGGACAATAAAATGAATTAAAAAAAAAACAATTCCGAAAAAAACAGAAGATTCCTCCATGTTGGACCCAAGCAATGCGCTCCTCACTCATTCCCTCGTCCGTCACACCTTCCAGATGACAAATCTGCCCATTCTCCGCTGACAGCAAAAGATGAGTTAGCAGACTCCTTTTATCCAGCCGGTATCCTGCTATTAGTTAATAGATGCCCCAGAAGGGACATTGTCGAGGTCACTGTTCCCTCAGGCTTCTTCTTGAGATCCCAGCACTCCGAATCCTGTTGCCTCTGTCATTGAGACATCCTTCGCCGCGACGACGATCGCCTCTTCGGCCTTTTTGGCTGCGGCCCTAGCTCGAGCCACCTCTGTGAACTTCCCTTGCATGAGGTGGCGAATCCGCGCGAGCCGCTCTTTTGTCACCGGTCCGGACTTTCTGGGTCTGACTTGGCAGTCCCGGTAATCCGATCGGTGGGGTCCCCCACAGTTGCGACACTTAGTGATGGCCTTGCTCTCGGCTTCCGAGTGCATGTTGGAGCCGCAGTTCTAGCAAGCTGGAGCGCGGGAGCAACCACGAGTGGCGCGGAAGCCCAAACAGCGTTTATACTGTTCAATTTGGCGACGAGGCTTGTGAATGGTAGTCTTACCAGACTCGTCGAAGTGGCGGAAGCCCGCACGAGGGGCGTAGTCCCGGGGAAAAATGTCATGCCAGTTTCGATGCGGTGCCCCAGGTCGACATATCCCATGAGGTCGGACCTGGATTGGAAGCGCGCCGGTCGTACTGTGAATCTTGGCGGAGAACCACCTAGCATCGACCGCCCTAGGGCCGCACACTGTAACTATACTTACAGGTACGTTCGGTACCTGTAAGGCGACAAGATCCGAAGATGCCTCGAGTTTGACGTTTTCACTCGCCAGCTTCAAAGAGCCATCTAGCGTCTCTTGTCGTATTGTGTCGCTCTCTGCTAGCATAGCAAAGCCGGTTCTCACTCGATTAAGTGAGGTTATTTCTTGGTTAAAGTAGCCGAATGTATACTCCAACGTATTTCTCACGCTACTTGTGGACAGTCTTCGCCACGGGTGGACTCTCGTGATGTCCAACTTGGCCTTTTGACGCTTTTTTCGAACTGGAGGCATGGTGAAAATGCCTAGGCTCGATCACAATTCGAAGATGAATGCGACGAGATCGAGAGGGATGGGAAAGAGAGGAAAATGAATTTTTCGAATTGTGGTTGTGTTGTGAGCTAGTATGACGTTGAATAACAATAAAAAAAAACTAGCACTAGAAAGTAGAACACACGTCAGGGTTGTAAAAGATGGCCTCAAACCTTGCAGCCATAGTCTAGCCAGTCACACATCTTCCCACTCGATCTCTCTCTATTGTGGAGTCTCCGTCGTTGAGCACGTCTAGTATCATCAGAGTGATAAATTTGTAAACTTGTCCCGTAGATTTAGATCCGTCGGAGTCAGCTGCACCCTTGGGCATGCTGTGTTTGATCCAGTAGGGCAAATACTAAACATAGCCCAACAAGGATGCATGTATCCAAGCATAGACTTCTACCATTTATCTGACACGTTTGAAGGTACATCTCCGGCTACATTTGGAAAATTTACTTGAGACATCAAAATCAGTGTAACTTTTACAAATTACCAATGGCATTCAGGAGTCAAGCTGCCTTTTAAACAGTACTGAAATTATATATTTTCAATAGGTAAGAGACCTGTTCATATTAAGCTAACATGATACTATTTCCAATGTTGTGGATTCGAATTTAATTATCTTTACATACACGTAATTTCTAAGGCGTGACAACCTGTCCAACTTGAAGGGCGATTCTTTTATAACATCTATACTAGTACTCCACATAACAAATTTAAGCTTGCCCCCACGATTTTCTGTCCTCTTTATATAGTAAGTTCTGTTTTAGCTAAGATTCAAATAACTTGAGCCTTTGTCCCTCAGGTCCAGCGTCCTCATGTTCGCTAACATTTTGATCTTCTTGAAGAGTAACTTGTTGTCCTAGTAGTGTATTAAATAGTCTGTCTACTGCAGATGGCTCCCAACTACTCCGATCCTCTGGAGCCATGAAATTCTGTAACTTTTCATGCACGGTATACCTTAGCTTTCGGCCTTTACTAGCCTTTGTATCTACGACCTTTTTAGTCTTAACATCCTTGATTGATGCTCCAGGTAAATTTCTGAAAGACTCAAAGCCATCATGTCCAGACAATTGATCTGCTCGGCGTCGGTCAACCAAGTCTTTAAGAAGTATTTGGTAAAAGTTTGCATCATCATAAATATTTGGATCTTCGCTAAGTTTTAAATCCCTTTGAATTGGGGCACAAGAACGAGGAATTTTAGTCTTTCGAACTAAGTGTTCAGAATTTACAAGTTGATCTTGAAGCAAAGACGTGATACTCTGTTGAGATGCCGTTGCGTTGAGTTTTTGTGATAGTGGTAAAGCCATAGAAAGCCTGACCTTGGAAGACCATTTCTCCAGCGTTTCTTGTCGATAGTTTATTGAAGCCACTTCAGTCTCTTGCATTTTTTCCCAGATAGAAGAGGATGGCATCGAGGAACTAACAGTAAGCTTTCTCTTCTGGCCAGTTTGGGCTGTGGAGCTGGTCTGAAATAATTCATGTCGCATGCCATTCAACGAATTCCAAAGTTTGATTGCAGCATTCTCGGCTGCTTGGTATGGTTCAGATGAAATGTGGGTTTTGCTGTCATTTTCTGCAACCGCTAAGGAGTTGGTTGCGACAAGTGCTTTTTGAAGCATTATGCGCAAGTTCAACAAAGAGTCGAATAATTTTCGTTGTAATTTGACTGCCTTTCCTTTATCGACATCTGCTTTAACAGCTTGGGTGATGGTTGATAAGACCGCGTTTTGATCATCCCCCATTATTTTGAGTAACTCTGATCTCCGAGACTTTTCTTCATTCTCTTCCGTCGCTCCTTCAGCACCTACGATCTCATCAGATTCGCTACCAGATGATCCTTCATCTTCATCCGAATTGCTCTCATCAGATGCCGATTTTGGTTGAGGTATTTTATGAATTAATTTTTTATTTGTCTTGGAGTTCTTTTCTCCGTCACTGGCACTTTCAGTTTCATCTTCGTCAGATTCAGCCATGTCAGAATTTGTAAATATATCAGAGCTTGAGTCATCAGATTCTCCACTTGAATTTACCGAATCATTTTCCAATAAATTCTTGCGACTAATTTTTGAACCAGAGTACTTAGGCCCCAAATTTATTTCTTCTGGTTTTCGGAGCTGACTCTTTCTACGAGTGGATTAGAATATTGATAATATGCCATAAGAAGGGTCTCACCCGACTTTAGAATAATGCTCAGTTCCATCTAGAGAATTTTTATCATGACCGCTTTCTGATTCTTCCTCACTCGCAGAAGGTGCTTCATCTTCAGGGTCAAAATCTGGGGGAAAGTAAGATTTATTTCAGGATTTGGAAGGAGAAGATCTTACCATTGTTAGCAGGACCATCGCGTTCAGCGTATTCGCGGAGCAAGGATTTTGGTTTCTTCATTGCCTTGAGGTTAATCTATCTCTGAGATGTGATTTGCTGCGCAAAATTTTTAAAGCAAGACCGATGTTACATCGACCTTATCTGAGTGGGCCCACTTTTTGCGATAACCAGAACACCTCGAACTGGTTGGAAGACAAATCCTGACCACCTGTACACGGTGTCCTCTACGAACCTGGGTGTGAAATATTCCCCCAGAACCAAGATCACTCCAATTTCGCAATGCCAGGTAAACTGGCCCACGAGGCGATGATTCAAGATATCCCACCATGTAAATCTTTTCCCCAAGGAGATCGATTCCTACCTTAGCCATATTAAGTCTACAATTACTGCCAAGTACATCCTCATTCCAATAACCACACCTCTCATTGACTTTTCTATGGCGTTAGCTGACCACCAAATACACGCATTTGCGGATGCTTATATCCGCCGGAAGAAGCAAAGCTTAGCACACAAATTTGGGAGACAGTTCTTTGAAATAGACTCGAGAGAAATCAGGACAAATTTACTATGTGATGTGGAGGATGGATTATTTCCCAAAGCGTGTGAGATTTCGCGTATTGGCAATGAGATTTACAAATTTGAGGGCACTGTGCACGCCAGGCTTTCAAATACGAAAGCGCAGTTGACACCGTCAATCTAAACCAACGATGAAAGCTGCCAAATTCTGCCTCCTGGTGGTATTTTTCGGTATAATTTGAGTAGCCTCGGCAACTACTCCACTTGAGAAGGAGACATCTCAGACCACATTTCGCGCGGAGAAAAGTCAACAGATGATGGAGGCATGTCTGAATTACTCAGTATTTTTGGGAATTTTACATGGGTGAACACTCACAGATGAGGGCTGACTTAGATCGAGGAGGATGCTACCATAAATTCGCAGTGGTAATCGTCAATGAAATTCTAGGCCTTAGTGCTAAAATTTTAAATTGAGTCATCCATCCTGTACTCTTCCTCTGATATTATGTTAGAGCTAGGTAGCTTCATGTGCAGTATAAAGACGATGCAAAAAAATCGAGCTGTCGGGACTGTTAGGTCTGCCTTTGAGTTGACCAAGGTTCTGCGCTTTCTTGGTATATCCCGACTTTTTCTACAATAATCCCACTATTTACAAAGTAGCATAGCCATGGAGATAAGAAGTGAGCACATTGGGTTTAACTCCTATCTGCATAGAAGACATCTTCCCGGAGTAGACAGCCCACGATGCCAATGTGGTTATCCGTCCCAGAATGTGAAGCATATGATCATGGCCTGCACCGACTGGGCCAAAGGGAGAGGGGAGGCATTGAGAAAGGCAGAGTTTCGGTCATTCGAAGCGATGATGAATAACCTGAAAGATGTGGCAAGAATCACAAAGTGGATTCAACGTGAGGGGAGATTGGAGTAGTTTCGACTGACGCTCGAAGCCGAGGCCACGATGAAGGAGAAAGGAAAGTAGGGGCAATATGATCTCCAGCCAGCAGAAGAGAATTTGACGGTATCCCCACTGGACATAATAGTGATAGTGCACTTCTTGAAGGTAATACAACATTAAAGTGTATATAAATTGAAAATTGAATTGAATACATTACGTATCAGGCTTATGCCCTACACCCAATAGGCGTGATACGGGTCTGTGCTCCCTGGGGCCACACTACAACCTAGGTACATAGTTTGCTTATCAGAAACTATTTGTAGTAAACATAGATAATTAATTAAATTTCGAAAAAAAAACGATATAAATTGAAAAGTTGAGGGGGTTTTTACTGTAATGGCTTCCTCCTATATAAATATTAGAGTTCGTAGACACCTGCATGGGCCCTAAGGCGCCAAATCGGGCTAAATGAAATCAAATTCAAAAATCCCAGTATTTATCGAAATGCGAAAATAAATCTTGAAGTCACAATCATTATCACGGACAAAAAAAGAAGTCAACCATTTGAAACTACCTCAAGCTGCGAAGATACAGCCTTCGTGCCGGTTACATATGCACTCTACCTTAGAAAAGGGCCAAAATAGCTCAACCTGCGACAAGTCGTGAGCGACAAAATAAGAATAAGCCTTGGTCACGAAATCGATAGGAGCACTTGGAAATTTATGGGGCATCGATACCTCCCCCTTCAGCGCTTATACTGACATACTTTCTTAATAGATAGGTGTGTGTTATCGAAGAGGCAAGGCTAGAGAGCTGGAAAGTATTCAAATTTCTTGAGATGACGAGATTTGGAGCTAGATCACGGAGATGATACGATGGAGTTATCAGAGAGGAGGAAAATAAAGGATAGTTTGGCGGGCAAATCTACAAGGCTCCCAATGAATAAAACAACCAGTGTATGAGATGAGGACGTATTGGGATTGCATTCAAGACAAAAAGTAAATAGCAAAGGCATCAAGGGCTCGGGTGAGTGGTGGCCAAATTTGAGGATGAATCCACGTCTCGATACGGACGCATTGGCTTTTCAGAATGATCATATTTGGCAGACTTTGGCACATGATTGAAGGCTGAAGTGGCCGATCACGTAGGTGAGACGAATTCCATGTGCTCTAGGCAGGTAACCAGATCCAATCTACCCTTCCTCATGGTCAAGCCCCTAAGATGTTCCAGAAGGCACTGGCTACTTTGTGCGTTTATACACACGCAAAGATGCTGTAAGTATATTACAATTGAATACAGTAATTATTGCTAGATAGAGGTCTTGGAATAGAGGGTTTACCACTCACGATATCGATACTTTCATTCTCTGGGCAGAAAACCCCTACTTGACCTCATAGGACGCGGACTCCATTGGGCACTGAAATATCACATCACACTAGCAAGCGTTGGTCTCTACAGACTAAGTTGGAAAGCTTGTTGGCTGAATCAAAAATCAAATAAACAGTATGAGAATTTGATACTGGCCGATGGATCAATAATCTAGACCCCCAATCATGTCGCCCATCCGATTTGAGTTTATTCTGCATCTATTCCTAAAGAAATATTCTGGATAGAAGATTATTTTTCCAGACAAAAATCGTGCGACTAGAAGATACTCTTACAAGCTAGAAATCTCCGAATCACTAGCTTCTAACGTGGTTGTAGTCTAGGGAATGCAGCTAGTGCACGATTGTAATCAGTAGAGGTTCCCCCTTTTAATCTATCCAGTCGAAGTAAAATCAAGATACAATAGTTAAAAGCCCCTCCATACTGAGAGAAAACCTTGAACATTTAATGGAGATAGGTCTGGTTATCTAGAGTCATCCACCTTTATGCTCAACTACAAGATCATGTACTAATTCAACCATCTAAAAACGAAGTTTTGCGTTCCTACCATCTTCACTTACACTGTCTGCATTTGACTCAGTTTTAATAACGTTTGTCTTTTTGTTGCAGTGCTGTTTGTGGGTTCCGTCGTTGAAAACTTCTACTCAATCATTAAAGTAGTCCCCTGGGAGTTTCTGCTCGGCCTTCCTAATATTTTGTGCGCTGGCGCATTTTCTGTAGTCTCCATTAGTAGCGAAGGATCTTTATCATAAATCCTCTAAACTGATACCTATTACTCTCTAGAAAATAGCGGCGAGGGAATGAATTTCACACATAGGCCCAGAGAGGACTATACTGAAGAGCGGCTCGTAGTCTCCCGGCTATTTCTAGTCTTTGTTTGGTGTTTAAAGTATCTAATCAAATATAAATTTTATCACACTACCGAAAGCAGGTCTCTTACCCGTGATCCCAAGGCCAGGAATAAAAATCAAGAGGCAGAGGTTCTATGACGGGGAGGTTCTGATGTCATAAGCTGTGGTCCTGAAGTTACTCGTCACTTTATTTCGATGAACTCCTTCGCCTGTCAAGCCACTGTAATCTTGACCAAGACAAAACCTGAGCCGATTCCTTCCCAATGCTTTCAAAAATCTCAAGGCGATCTCATAGGAAGAACATTTCCAATTTTCCCCCTACATCAGGACTATATCTCTCAAAATTGGCAATAATTATGCCGCGATTCTCGCCTGTAGGCCCTCGCCTGAGTAGCAGTCGTGGACCCAAAATTTCCATTAACACCATCCGTTTGATCTCTAATTCAACATGCTACAGAATTCCTCGAAAAGATACTCAAGACCGAGAGAGTATGGATACAGCACCAACAGAGTATTCCAAGTCTGGCACGGATACTACCTCGGCCCAACAGGAAAAGGCTGCTTTTGATCCGACCGTAACTAGCCCAGAAAAAGAAGAAGAGATTGCCGGGAGGGGAAATGAGGGAAATCCGTTGAACGTAAGCCCTGCAAATCGTGGTGTCAGTGAATCGCCGAGCTCTCAGGAAAAGCCGGTGGAAGGCAAGAAGGAGACGGGTCAGGAAGGATGTAAGTTGAAGTAACCTTTAGAAAGGCTACTTGATGACAAGTTATATTGAATAGAACTTTATAACCATCACCAAAGTTAACGACGACTGAAGAAACAAAGTATGACTTTGGCAAGGATAGAGAGTAAATTTATATCGGTTTGATGTGGGCGATAGCTTTGTTGCAGAAGATAAAGGCGTATTTTTATTTATTTTGCTCCTCATGACGCCCCATCTTTACAATGTCCGCTTGAGTCAATTCCCATGTACTTCCTTTATCCTCCTTCAAAGCTGTCAGACCAGCAGAAACAGCTGCTTGAGCCACGACTGCAGCATCCTGAGCCCAGAAATCCGTAGCTCCCTGACCTAGAAGCCCCACAATGCCAGCAAACTTGCGCACGGCCCATTCTGCCGGTCGACTCTCGGCTCGGTCTCCGAGCAATAGGCCTGGACGTAGAATGACAACCGTTTTGAAGCCTAGCTTTTGTACTGCATCTTCCAGCTCGCCTTTCATCTTTGGATAGGGCAGGAGAGATTTCGAATTCGCGCCAGCCGATGATATGAGTACGTATACTTTGGCGTCTATTTCTTTGGCGCTCTTCGCGAGAGATAGATTGAGCTCATAGTCGATCTGGCGTTGTATGGCTACGGACCCAGCTGCAGCCTTGGTCGTTCCCAAGGCGGAGAAGAAAATGGTTGGGGTCGGAGTGACCGTACTTAGTTCCAAAGGCCACTCCGACGAGTCGGCCAGCGTCAAAGAGTTGAGCTTGGTCTCCGCCAAGGAGTTTGTGGACGCAGTTTTTGGCGCTAGGGGCGGACGGCGCGAGAGGCTGTGGATTTTTGTGATGGAGGGATTTTCGTTAAGGATGGCGAGAATTCGAGATCCCTAAAATCGAGGGTCAGACGTGATTATATTTCCTCTGCGGTACTTTGAGGGCATGCGCATGCGCATAACAGAGACTTACAACGAGGCCTGTACTTCCAACAATGCCAGCGACAGTCATCATTCCTGGGTCAAAAAATACAAACTCTGGGTGCCAGTTATGTGATAATAACGATTCGAAGTCAGAGTCAAGGTTGTGAATCATTACCGCCTGAATATCTCGAGCTAATGCACGGACGGGAGTAATTGTCGAGATCGCCGTGCATGTCTCCACAATTCCGCTCGCCATCTCGCTCACATGTCGGGGTATACACTAGCAGCTGTGATTTAGTTTTCCATGAGGGGCCCCGGTCTTTGACACTTTCATAACCAGCGGATGGGACGAATAAAATAGGCCCGACTCATGCCAGTGTGTGAGTGTTTATTGTCCTAATGAGTCTATAAATATGTAAAGATATATAAGTCCTTTCTGCCTACAGGCCGGTGGCATCTATGTCTCTCTTACGATTTCTTTCCAGCAGTAATACCCCCACAGGTCTTCATTCGAGTACACACTAATAAGAGCCGTTATCCCGTAATTATCTCCCAACTCCAGCCAACGAAGCGATGGCCATTTGCGGCTGTGTAGCTACAGGGAAAAGTCCCAAAAACTACTGAGTGCGGCGCTCTTCTATGACAGAGGCCGGCCAGCTGGACGCAGCAGACCCGTGTATACCTAAGAGTGTCTCAATCTTCCTAGCCTCCTCCTTCCTCAATTCATGCCGCAGGACATACCGAAGGTCGAGAGAGGTTGTCGGAAAAGTCTTGGTCAAGAGTGACTGCCGTGAAGGAGCCCAACCTAGAATCTAAAAGTCATTACGGACGTGGGGTTGTCGAGTAACTCATGTATTTCAGATGCCTTCCTGGCAGGTAGATTCTGAATTAAGGGTTATTTTTTGTCTTTGAGTATTCAGCTATCTAGCTATGACACATTAATTACATAATTTATGTCTCCCAAACTTCTTCCTTACATATAATTTACCCAATTACTTGCTAATTTCCAATTAGTGTTTCCTATTCTAATATCCTTTGTGTGCTACTATGCACTTTGGTGTATCCATATATTTAAGAGGAGCTTCCTTTCCTATCTTTTTTCGATATAATATTAGAAGTGTTCTTGGCTCTATGCCCAAGGAATTAGGGGTTAGAACATGCGGTGACATTGACAAGTCGAAATCTGCTTTTCTTGAGGGCAGAAGGGTCTTCTCCTTTGCTCTAGTGGGCTTCTGTTTCGCCCGCTGGTGGGTAGCATATGTTGTGAAATAACAAGGGCTTCCCTGACTTCCGTTGTGGCATTGGAACCGCAAAATGTTGGGAAGGGAGACGCAGAGTGTTGAGGACTGACGGACCCTCTATTTCATCTAGGTTCCCGACCCGATCTTATGTGTATTTAAGAGGTTGGAACGGGTAATATGGTAGCGCTTCAGGCTACCTATTGGATACATGAGCGGCTGTATGGCGTGGGTGCAAGATGGTTATTGGGAGTTTTCTACGGCTAGATGGCACCACAATCGTTTATACTGTGGCTTAGGCTCTGTGTCGCTTACTCTTGTACTTGCAGTGCACACTTCTCACTTCATAAGCTGTTATCCGAACGTGAAACTCTTTTAGTCAACTTCTTCTTTCGTTCCAGAAATATTCCGCCAATTTCGTTGCGCGATATTTCCAACTCAACATCTTTCCTCATTTCAGTATCTGATAATCGTCTTGATCGTCTTAAGTGCTTTGTGTTATCGGAAGCATATCTTTGATGAAGGGGAATTGACTCAGCTTAAAGTTGAAAGGATGCTACTGAATCTCGGCTCTGCATAGTCTACAGCGAGAGCTTGAGGCTCGTAGGGGGTACGACTTGTAAGAGTTGATTTTCGTCCCAAACTGGGAGGTAGAAAATCCGTCTTTGCCGGCGAGTGAAAGTTTAACTTTTGCTCAGTTCGAATAATCGAACTATCATTCTGTATCACCATACTACTTCAGCACAACATTGAACATATCTCGACGTCTATTTACGCCCACAAGAATAGCTGCTTTCCCTGTTTTAATGATACTTTACCGAGTTTACATGGGCTTCATTCGCAAAAAGTTTGCAAAGCTAGTCAAGAGAGGATATGTCTTGAAAGGTTATAATCGATACGTAAACTGTGAACTGGGCTATTATAGATTGCCAGGGGAAACAGAGTAGAGATGTAACGAGTATCTATAGTTACTGAGAATCTCTCATATAACTACGATACGTGATAAACTTTGGATTCACTTCAAAAATTGGGGTTATCCTTTATTAAAGGAAAATGGGTTTTGTCCACAGCACATGAGCAAGTCTCATTGTATAATGAAATTATTAAGGAAATAATGACCCCTTGGTCATTGAGGTTTTAGAGCGCGTTGATTCAAGTAACTACCGAAGTGAAACTAAGTACAGAATTTTTGGTTACATGTGTACCAACAACGTGGCCTCATTGACAGCCCCAATTATTCTCAATTCTAACAGGTTCACAAATTTCATGTAATTTAGCTTCAAAACTCTTTTCATGTAAGGTTATTTAATGAATAGGGTCTGCAGCGAAAACGTGAGCCTTCGCGCTTAAGCACGGCTACAATCACTTATTATTCGCTAGTTGTTTACCGCAAAAATCATATCCCGCATGGGAGATTAACACGGTGATAATTTAGCGATTGGATGGTTTGGAGATGTGTAGAATCCATATCCTTGAAACTGAGAGTAAGAACGGGCGTTGCTAGTTGTTTAGGCCCAGCTCAGATTTCGTTGATTAAATATTCCGCCATTCCAGGTAGACGATGACCAAGATTTTAGAAGTGCGTTTTCCATATTGTGGAAAAACCAACATGTAAATATATCTCAGACATACCGAAGTTAGCCAGTTTTCTCTAAATCATTACTTCTGACTTCACAAATAGTCCTCATGAGATAGATAGATTTCCTCCATCATTTGGAATATTTTACTTGAAGACTACAGCCAGTGATGGAGTATTCTGATACGCACGAACTGGGTTGTCGATCTTTCTTTCGGCATATGATCCGTGCTAGGGACAATATCATACGTCATTCAAGTTCTTGTTTCCACATTCCATGCAAGTGCTTGTCATACGCCTTGCTACTTCATTCATACTTGGAGTTGATTTTGACTAAACTACATCGTAGTTGCCGTTAGTCTAGTACATTCACAAAATGTAATTCTCGTGATTTTTAATGTAGGACTGCTCCCTGATCACAGTGGTACGTATGCGTAGCACGCATTACACTGAGAATATTATATTTTTTCGCAGAATAAGTGTAGTTCTAAACAGGGATACATAATTATTAGAGATGGTATGCTATTTTCAAGATCTTGGGTTTTGTGAGTTGTGTGTTGGCAGATATTAGAAAGCTGTTGTACATCGTATTGCTTGCGAAGGATTGAAGGGTTGTATAAAGGCGAAAGTACAGATTTCCTGCGATGCTTATAAGTGATTTGGTCTTGGCATTAGCCTCGCTTCAAAATGTTATCACCTGACATGACCCTTATAGCTAGGCCCAAAGCTATTTAGCTTAGTCATATGATCCCAAGACTATAAGTCACCTGACACTTCACACAATCTTCTGAATCTATGAATCTAATTTTCATTTAATTTAACCCGATTTGGCGCAGCATGGGCCCTTATTTTTTTTTTGGCATCATAATTTAATTGCGTATGCAGGTAGCTAGCTATGACACGATATCAGACAAAAAAATACAGAAAAGATGAATCAATTTACAAGAGGAGCACTCATGCCTCGGATTTCATTTGCAAGTACCACTGCGAATTTATGGCGACTTTTTCTTCACCCCAAGTCAACCCTAATCTGTGAATATGAACCCAGGGGAACGTCTCAAAAACCCTGAGTTATCCAGATATGCCTCCATCATCTTTCAACTTTTCTCCGCGCGAAATGTAATCTGAGATGTCTCCTCCCCAAGTGGAGTAGGTGCCCAGGCTACTCAAACCATACCAGAGAACACCACCAGGAGGCGGATCACAACACCTTCCATCGTCGGCTTATTTTTATAATGTCAGCTGTACCCTCGCAAGCGAAGTCTTGGCGCGCACAAGGCTCAATTCGTAAAAATCTTGCCAAAATTCGGAATCTCACGCCCTTCGAGGTAATATCTTTCCCCTGCATCATCTTTGCAACTTGTCCTAATCCCTCTCACGTCCATCCCAAAGAACTGTCTCCCAGATTTGTGCGCCACGCTTTGCTTCCTCCGTCGGGTGTAAATATCGGCGTGGGAGTCTATTTGGTGGTCAACTGAGGCCAGAGAAGGTCGGAGAGAGGTGTGGTCATGGGGATGAGGATGTACTAGGTCGTACTTGTAGACTTGATGTGACTTAGGTAGGAGTCAAACTCGTTGGGAGTAAAAAACGGCGTGGAGGAGTAAATTGAAATTTTGCCTCATGGGCCAACTTGTTCGGTATTGCGAAATTTGACTGAACTTGGCTCTGGAAGAATATTTCACTCCCAGGTTCGTAGAGGACACCGCGTACAGGTGTTCAGTCTTGCCCTCCGCAGCATGGGCCCATGCAGGTGTGAATCTTACTTTCTAATTTATATGGTTGGAAACCTTTTGGTGAAAATCCCCTAATCCTTCCTGTTTATTGTCTACGTTTTTCTAGTGTATCCCTCAGGAAGCGCAGTTACACTGTAGTGCCCTCCATGTTAACCAATTACATCATCTCTACCTGCACTTCGCATTACTTGACCTTTTCCTTTCCCTCAGCAGCATTTTATAAGGAAATGGTTAAACTGTCCTTTGCAGCTATTGGTAGTGATATAAATTAAGATGATGATTGTGATTGAGATCGATTTCTATATAGTGATTTAGGAAATAATGACCCTTCAGTCATTGAGGTTGTAGAGCGCATGAATCCAAGTAACTACTAAGGGGGAACTATTCCCAACACCTGTCAGTGGTGTCCCCTACGAACCTCCAACTCCCACTGTAGAGCCTGCAGAGCCGAGACGAGGTAACAAAGTCCTCAATTTGACGAGAATTCCCGATCGCGTTCGCGGTCTGTATCGTCTTCATCTCTCAACACATTCCCCTATCACCATTATCATGAAGCTAACCACTACCAGATCAGATGGTAGGGTTGAAGCCCTATTTATCACCTAGTCTTGGCCTTGGACGAGTA